GGGCAGCAATCTGATGTGCTCGAGCATACTGTAGAAGTTCCTGGACCCTCATCCTGTGCTCGACCTGATCGATCTCCTGCGGGACATGTGTACAAACAAACTTCATGTGATAATGAAATTTGTGCCATGTGCTGAATCTGGTGCCGCATCTGTTGCATGTCGGAACCACTGCAGTTGGTTGATCAAATGTGTGGCGCAGCAAACCTGATCGTTGTCCATGATCAATAGTGCAGTGCCTACGTAGCGCTGCCATTGTGTTGAAGACCAGATTGCAAACATTGCACACATGTTGCGTGAACTGAGATGGCACCTCGTCAAAGCACTGCTCTGTGTTGACTCGAAGGTGGACTTTCTCAATGACCTGAATCAACTGATCATACGATGGCAACGGCGTGAGCAGAAGCACATCATCATCAGATAGTGTCTGCTGTCTTTTCAGAGCACGACTGGCAGTTTGAAGACACATGTCACGCAGGCGCAAGAGCGGGTCAGCAATGTTGTGCTTGGATAAGAAAAAGGAATTGTTCTCTTTGTAGAGATGCACTGGTTCCCTGAAAATTCTGCGCAATTGACGAATGCAGAAGCGATAAAATGAAAACAATGTGGCTTCCGTGAATCCTGTGGCGATGATCCCATATCTGAGGCATGTGTAGGTGCATTGATACCACAATTGAGTTCGCTGATATGCATTCATCTTCTGGGTGTAGAGCCAGCGGTGAAGCTGATGCGATGTCTGCTCACTGTGCTTCAAGCGAAGTTCCATCGTTTCACGTTCAAAATTGTGGTATGACATCATCACCCCAAGATATCTGAAGGATTTCACCAGTTTGATCTTCGTGTAATTTCCATTTGATCTTGGGACTTTGAGATATGTGCCGTGTTGTGTGCGCACGACATTCTTGCGGTGGATTTTCCCTGCCAATTTCCCTTTCATACGCATCGTAATTGTAGTCTTGGTCAGGTTCAGTTCCAAATTAGCCCGTTCAAGCAGGTCCAGCAAGGCTCCAAATGCATGCAGCAATTCATAGAATGAATCCTCAGAGTCAAACATCTGGTGGGAACAAATGTCATCTGCGAAGATCGTAACACACAAAAGCAGAAAGGACATACTGGTCATTGTGGCGTACTCTTGCATGAGAGCTGAGATGAAAACTGTCCATAGACATGGAGCAGCTTTACATCCTTGTCTGATACCTCGACAAGTATGAACCGTTTTGGAGACTCCCCGATGTTCAAATTCATATGTGGTGGTGCGATACACACACTGCAAGGAAGTGATCAGTTCCTCGGAGATTCCCAGCTGTGCCATGCCTCTGAAGAGGTGTGGTCGTCGTACTGTGTCGAAGGCCCTCGAGAGGTCTAGGCATAACATCATGCCACCTGCCAGTGAGGGAGAATCAAGACCCTGTTTCATCCTGTGCACAGGGTAACTGAGCTCACCCATCATGGCTCGGACCTGTCGACAATGATGAACCAATCGATGGATAGCGTCATCTGTGCCACGACCTCTCGCATAGGCAAACTGTGGTAAACGATTCAATACATGTCCTATCTGTTGCTGTATGGCAGTGTTGAGCAACCCCATTGCCGCCTTTCCCGACGGTTCCAACAGTGCGATAGGTCGCAGTTCAGAGGGATGTCGGCCGGCCTTCCCTGGTTTAACCAGCATGGCCAGGGATCCCATGCCCCAGACAGAGGGGAAGGAGGTCTTCATGCTGCAATCATGAAACATCGGATCCAAGAATGCTGCAATGAGCTCAGCCCCATACTTCCAGAAGGGAGCCGGGGAGTACCCAGGCGCCAGAGCTTTGTGTGTGGGAAGAGATTGAAGTCCCTGTGCAAACTCCTGAATCGTGAATGGCCATGCAAATGGTGTCAAGTCCATGTCATCTGTGTGATCAGTGTAGATGTCCTGAAACCATTGATGTAGCCAGTCAGCTGCCGCTTCTGGACCAAGCAAATCACCTTGTTCAGTGCGCAACATGATGCGTTTCATGGGTTGTTTGGGTGCCAAAAGTCGGATTGATTGAAAGAGTTGAAAGTGATCTTTGGCCTGTGCTGCTTGGTTAGCTGCATGATAAACCTGAGCAAGTCGTCGTTTGCGGGAAATTTTGGAGGCCATGACCATGTCTCTCCGAGCTTTGCTTCTGTGTGTGATATGAAACCACGCTTTGAATAGTCCTGCAAGATCTGAAGTCTGCACTTGCCGTAGACCTCTGGTATGAACCTGAAAGCATCAGTTTGAATGGATGATGTAGGTTTGTCAGGTTGGAAGGTGGCACCATCAAATTGTTTGAGAGTGTCATGCAGAGCCTCAAGGTCGGAGCTGGAAGTGGTTCCAAGGTTCTCGATGGCCTCATGAAGTCGGGTACAGAAATGTGTAAAAACAAGATCTTGTTGAACACAGTGCTGATGTAGTTGAAGCCTTTGTGATCTGGTCCATCCCGTCTTCAACGGTGGTCTCTCTGGGTACCATTCTTTCCTGATCGTGGTCAATAAAGGTACATGAAAAGCTCCAGTAAGAGGTACCAGTGTGAAGTCTCTCAACAGTTGAACATCTTTGGCCATCTTGTCCGCGTGTGTGCGGCGTGTGCAAATGTAATCGATTCTGGAAGAATGTGTGCAGAATTCATAAGTTGCGCCATCACTCGCACTCCAAGTGTTGAGAGCTACCAGATCGTGTTGAGATAGCAACTGCTTCCAATGTGAGGCATCTGCATGACTGGGGCCATGACTTCTACCTTCTGAGGTCTGAAAGGTCGGATATCCAATGGCATTGGATCGCTGATCTGCAGAGCAGTTAAAGTCCCCAGCCATGATGAGAGTGTTTCTCTGTGGCAGCTTTGATAAAAGTGAAAAAAGTACATGCCAAATCTGCTGTCGTTGGTCCATGTGTGTAGTGATGCATGTGTATTGATATACATTCAGGATATCGATACTTCTGTGAGCTCCATGCAATCTCAGTTGTAGGATTCTCCCAGGTACATGTTCAAACCATGATAAATCAGAGGGCAAACAGATCTTTTTGGAGATGAGACATCGGAGACCTGCCTTCTCCGAGGTTGCGCCGGAGTGCACCGCCAGGTAATGGTCCATGACCCAGTCTCGTGTGAATCTCCAATGAGTTTCCTGAAGCAGGACGATGTCAATCGTTTGATTCTTCATCCACTGCGTCAAAAAGTCCCAGTGATCCGGTGGAAGGCCATTGCAATTCCAGGAGAAACAAGTCAGTCGTCTTCTCTGAACCGGCTTGGGAGGGAGTACATTTTTGGGATGCATTGTTGCATTGGGTACCTTCATGGAAACTCCCAATTGAGACGCGGTGTATATTCTTCCTCTGTACCATGTATGTCCATGTATCGAGGCTCTATTGCGAGCACGGAGAAAACTTCTCTTGCATACAGCCCTATGTTTGCTAGTCTGGATTGATTCGTGAATCTGTCTGGGCTCCAATCCATGTGTTTTCGCAGCATGCCAAGGTTCCTGGTCAAGAAGTCGATGTGCTGCTTCCACGTCACCCATGGATGTGACGTAACCCTCACCCCCAACCTCGTTGCTGTGTAAAATCAGAGATATCAAGCACAGCACAAGGAGAATGACTCGACCAAGAAGTTTACGAGGTCCTCGGACTTGGGACCGAGAGGTGGTTGTCTTCGCTGTCGTCTGGCACCAAAATCCGTAGTGCAGGAAGATCCCAATGATCTTGATACAATGGCCAACTGTCCAAATGAAGGGCCGGAAGGAATCCACGTGTAAGGGCACGTTGTCCAGCAGACACGGGAAAAACTCTTGTACCCTGCCCACAAATGAAAAAATGCCAAATTGACAAATAGTTAGGCCAGTGAAAAATTGTAAGGGAGCCAACCCCATATGTAGATCCTGGAGCCACCCAGGTCAAAAAGGCCAGAAACGAAGAGGAAGTCCAGCAGCGCAAATGTTGAACAGGCAGCCGAAAAGTGATCACAGGTTCGGCAGCAGCTGCCTGATCAGCTGCGCAGCACAGCCACAGCAACGATCACCAAGACTGGCCAGGAATTGGTGTCAACGCCGTGTCGGCGAACAAGTACCCAAACGTCGTGGGGCACCCTTGTCACTAGGACTCCTCGTCCCTCGAACCACCGGGGGCTTAGTAATAATAATGTGTGTATGTGTGTATGTGTGTATGTGTGTATGTGTGTATGTGTGTATGTGTGTATGTGTGTATGTGTATGTGTGTACGTGTGTCTGTGTGTCTGTGTGTGTATGTGTGTATGTGTGTATGTGTGTATGTGTGTATGTGTGTATGTGTATGTGTGTACGTGTGTCTGTGTGTCTGTGTGTGTATGTATGTATGTATGTATGTATGTATGTATGTATCTATCTATCTATCTATCTCTATCTATCTCTATCTATCTATCTATCTATCTATCTATGTATCTATCTATCTATGTATCTATCTATCTATCTATCTATCTATCTATCTATCTATGTATCTATGTATCTATGTATCTATGTATCTATGTATCTATGTATCTATGTATCTATATACGTATGTATATATATAGTATATAGTGGCTTCATGAACGTCACTGCCGTGGCGTTTCTTTCTTCAGAGTCTCAGGCCCCAGCCGGTGCAGAGGACGAACAACCCATCTTTCTACATCTAGGCGCACTCCCAACCACATCTGGAGCCAATGTTGGTGTTCAAAACCACCTGGACCTGGGTCAACCTGGGTCACTGTCCAATATTTTTGCAATGGTGCAGCCCTATTGACTGAGAAATCCAGTGTTCAGCAGTGCTTCAGCAGCGATTCATTGGATGTTCAACTGAGAAATCCAGTGTTCATACGTGCCATGGTCCAAACATGCTATATGATCTATATGGACATTATTTGCCATGGTATCTGGGGGCTATGGTCATCCAATCGGATCTTTCACTTTCACATTGCGCAAAAGGTTAGTACCTTGCTGCCGTGCATCGTTCCGCCTTGCGAACGAAATTAATTCGAATACAAAAGTGATCAGCCTTGGAAATCGGGAAGCCATTGTGCTTCTGTACGAATGTGAGCGCAGGCCTGAAGGGCCTCCTGTACCCAGGCTTCGATTTCAGGCGCTTGCAAAGGACCCAGGAAACAATCAGCTACTGCTCCAGCTAGTGCCGCGGAAAAAGCTGGTGGGTACTCCTCAAGCACCGCAGTGCGGAAAATTCAAGTGCTCTTGTCTCGTCCAATTGCAACGTTTTGCATCCAATCGGAATCGGAAAAAAGAAATTCCAATGGATTGATGACGATGACCATCCATCCCAACAAAACAAGTTGTCAACCAACAAAACCCACGAGTTTTTGGAGGCGATTTTGACATTTTGACCACATTGCCAATTCTTTTGGTGGGTTAAATAATCCATGTTCATCAATTATATAATGAGTTCATCCCTGTTTTTCTTGATGAAATGCCCCTTTTTTCCCCTCCCTCTCGCCCAACTACTGCGCGCTTCCCCTTGCCACAGCTCAGACAGTGCCATGTGGAGGTCTGCACTCAGTGCCTTGCCAACAGGGCACTTATCATCCGTAAATGGTCAAGACCCTTGACTTTGGAGTAGTTGTGGAGCATACCGCATTTGATTTCCAACCATTGGCAATTTTCCAACACTCAGGATATAACTAGACTGTAATTGTACGCCAGTACGTCCCATTTACACACCATCTACAAACCACTTATCGTTTCATCACTACCCCTGCTGCGCAACGGTTTTTTGTGACTTCTCTCCCACCTCGGTGAGGCACGTCACCAGCAGTGAATCCACCTTGGTGCTGAAATCTCCGTTCGAAATTTGGATCCCCCAGGTACCGGTGAAGGTTGAGATTGCCCAACTGGAGATCTACCGGTGAAATCATCAACCACGTCACTGGTCGACTCACCGTTTGCGTGGCGATGTCTCTGAGGTGCTCACATATTCATGCCATCTGTGTTCGGGAGCCAGGGAGATGATGTTTGTGTGAACCCAATGTGAGCGAGTCTTACAGAACACATAGGCACATGGTTTTTTGTGGTTCATATCATTCCCTGTTTCAGTGTCGTATATCTAATTTATACACAGGGCTTCACACTTTTCTGCTGCACCATATTGAACCTCTCAAAGACTCACTCCAGCCCAAACGGCACAGGGCTTCGCTCAGCTGGAAGTCGCCTGCGCAGTTTCACCGTCGTGCCAGCGCGCTTCACTGGCAGTCGACTAGCAGAAATGGCTTTGCAATCTGCTCCTGACTTCTGGCCAGGCTCCTAAAACAAATGTCCGTGGTAAATGGATGTAAATGGTAAACCCAAAACCATGAACTGTCCCCATAATTTTACCAGAAATGGGTTGTATGTATAAACCATCCCCAAAAGGATATGTTTGACGTGTTTCAATGTCCTTCACCACACAATACATCTACAGCACAAGGCACATAGCGCACCGGATTGGGTCAGATCTGCAGCTTTCAGCGGCCTCGGACCTCACCCTGCGAAGATACAGCTCGTATTGGGTAAACCACAGGTGATGTTTGCGATACAAAAATCGTCATAAATGAATATGAATAATATGAATAATATGAATTACTATACAGTAAATTGTTTCTCTCCATGGGATACATTATATAATTGTTTCATATTGGTTCTCACCACCGCCACAGGTCTGGACCAGCGTCGCCTACACCAAAGTCTCACTCGGGGTTCGTCGCCGACGAATGGTTCTCCACTGTGCTGCGACCTTGCTGGAACAGCCAATGCCAAACCAGCCATGGTCGTCCTACTCACTATATGGTTGATGGTCATCCCATCCATAATAAGGATCCAAAAATAATGGTTATTATAAATCCCTATGAACCATTGGATGACTAGCCCCGTTTTTAATGATTATTAACCATGAGTATTGACCACAGCTCATATCAAGTAACTAAGTCATATCAGCCATGGTATGCACGATTATGCATGGTCAGGAGCACGTTGATCATCAAAAAAAAGTACCCTTCATCCAAACGCATCACGTTGCCGGGTCCCAGGCTTTCCGCGGAAGGCTGATGACCCAACAGATGCCCACAAAGAGGAGGACGAAACCAGTCCAGGTGCAGAAGATTGTGAAGGTCCATCCCCACACCTTTGCAATTTTCTTCAATCGTCTTTCTATATCTATGTGCTTCGGCCTTACACGGCTAAGCTTTGCAATTGAGAATCAAACAGACAAAGCGCCAGTGCTGGTGTATTGACTCGGAACCTCAGCTGAAACAAGCACGACCATTCAAAGTCATTTGTCAGGGCAGCAAATGAACTTTTGGACCAGGGGGTTCCCCAAAACAAGAACGAGCCGTGCGTGCAGTGCAAATGTTCAACACACATCCACAGACACCGACTGAGTCAACACATCTGCCAATAGAATTTTCAAGCATTCTGTTGAAATTATTTGAAATGCCAATGACGCATGTTATTCAACTCGAAGACCCTTCCAAATACAATCACTTGCAAATTGAGGCATGGACATTGACTGACTTGCAGTACCTTGAAACCGATTCCAGACGATATTCCAACACAGTAGTCTTTGTCTGCAAAGATGCCACATGTTACCTTGCTGCTGTTCGCATGTGTGTGCGTGTGTGTGTGTGCGTGTTTTTCGATGTGAATGTCTGAATGTTAGTGTGAATATGCGGGAACTACATTAGATTTAGAAAAATGCTAATTGTGGATGAAGTACAAGAATGCAACTAATGGCCAGGTGTTGTAGTGTTCAAATATTCCATTTTTGCGAAATTCACTCCAGCACTTCTACACAAAAAATCACAATAACCAGTTTGTGGGCTCTGGTGTAGAATCGTAGGTGCTACAGTAAGTGAAAAGGCGAAAAACATGGTCGTGGTATTGTCTTTTTCGGCAAGGCAGGTTTCTTTCTTTCACATTGTGTTCAAGCGCAGCCTCCGAACTCCCAATACAATAGAATTCTAAAAGAACCAGGGGAATGATTCAGGGCTCTTACCCAGAGCCGCATGCGACACACCTTGGCAAAACACCTTCAAAACACCTTCAGGCAAAGCAACGTGTCCATTGCCGCTACAAACGTTAAAATTTCTGCATGGGGCACTTGTAGTAGATGGCACCCAGCATCTCTGGACTGGAACCACCGTTGAAGATACCTCTGCTCTTGGATATTCTGGAAACCCGGCAGAAGTGCTTCCAGCAATGGTTTTAACGGAGAGCGGAGTCGTGATTTAGATGGGACAAGTGATGGCAATATCTATTAGTCCCTTGGAATTGTGGGTTCCCCATGTTCACACCCAAACCCATATGGTGGTTTCCTACAATGGGGGTACCCCAAAACCATGGATTTCAATATGATATACCAAAATAGTCTGAGTTTGGATACCCCTATTTTCGAAAACCCCCACATCTCCAATGCGATGCTACGCATTTTCGCTGCCAAGTCACCCAGTTGTGCTCCATCCGGCAGATCTGTGCAAGCTGCGCCCCAGGCGTCATTGACCTTCCCATCAGGTCAAGTTGGCCCAAAAATGAAATATGTCATATGTATTGTATATTATATTATATTATATTATGTTATGTTATATTATATTATATTATATTATATATATATATATGTTATAATGTATACCATATTATATATATATATTATAATTATATTATATATTATATATTATACATTATATATTATATATTATATATTATAATATATTATATATATATATATTATATTATATATTATATATTATATACTATATATTATATATTATATATTATATATTATATATTATATATTATATATTATATATTATATATATATTATTATATATTATATATTATATAATATATATTATATATTATATTATATTATATTATATTATATTATATATATATTATAATATGTGTAGTAGAAATAGTAATAATAATAATAATAGCATTATAAATCAGTTATTTATTAGAAACAAACAGAACCTGTCCAGTATCCGCTGCCTCTTAAAGGTGGAATGCATCCCTTAGAACCCACGTGCAAGATCGCACCATCGCCAAGGAGCTAAGTGACGAGTGAGGTCTGCCATGCAGAGGAAGATTGAGGCCAGGATACAGAAGAAGGGACCTCATTGGAGGATTCGAAAACTCTAAGCGAACCTAACCACACTAGCCCAGCTGGCACAAGTCGAGATGTCAAATGCAACGCATGTCTACGGTGTTTGCTGGAACTGATGACCCCAAGGTTGACACTTCCGAGAAACTTGGCTGTAATCCAGCTATCGTTGCTTCAAGCTGACTAATTCCCCACTAATCATTGTTATTTATTCACCCATATTCAACCATTGTTGCTTCAGGTGATGTCTAAAACCCAAGGTTTGCCTGTGCGGAGCAGCTGTTGACTCAGCACTAGATTTAACATACTATTGCCAGAATTGTTGATGCCTCTGTCCCTCATAACTGGTTGGCGCCAATTTGTTTGACGTCACGCATCAGGAGCGACGTCTGGTCCCCAAAATTGCTGCTGACGTCACTGAGATCACCACCCCATTTCCGCATAAACCTGGAAGCCCAGAGCTGTGCGAGTTACGGAACTCATTAGCATGGGCAAGTGACAGCTGTTGTGGGTATCCGTATTTACTCCAAGCAGCTTATGCAGAAGTCTGGGAAAAGTCACTGGTCTTGCTGCTCTGTTACCAGTCGCCTCTCACTGTTGGAATCTGAGACTGGAGCCTGTAATCCTTTCGAGACTGTCTTGTCTTGTTGAAGACAAATTGCAAGATCTGCCACAAAGCACGTTAGGAAAAAAAAAATGTATCCGACGTGGGTTCCGTTTTGAAGCAAGATTTCCAGGACGATATGGCCATCATCTTACACATGGTTTCATCTCAGGTGGCTTCAAACATACCCCAGGTCTGCTGAATCGTGCTCATGGCCCGCACATTGGTCATGATGGCCAAGTTAATGCCCCAAGTCAGCGCGTGCACGAAGGACCGTGACGAAGACCTGGCCAGTGATCCCACCCAGAGAATGGAAACTGGAAGTGAAATTGCGTCATCTAAGAATCTTCATGTTCTTTGAAGCAAATTGCGTCATCTGTATCACAAAAGTCCAGCCCCAATCAACCCCATCATTGGTTGCCATCATTGGTTGCCAATTGTCAACCCCAATCATTGGTTGAAGTCATCCCGCCATCTACCCCTGAGCTCCCCCACGTGTTGATGGACGCCAAGCCACTGAAAAGTCCCGCGAGCAGCACGGGCCAACATCAGCTGCCTCAAAATTGGGGATTTACCTCTAAAATGGTCATTTAGTAGATAAAAATAAAATAAAATAATGCTATATTAATCCATGGACCATGCATTTGTGTACCAATGGATATATTCACTGTAAAAGGAATTTGGATTTGTGATTACAACAGTTGCAGTCAGATTGATTCATCAGTGGATATGGACAATTTGACCTTAGTTTTGTTTGGAAAATCTGCAGGAAACCGTGGTTTTTGCTCCAAATATAGGGGGTCCTGCAGATTTTCGATTGCACCAATTCCACTGATTTATAAATGTCAGCATTGGATCATAGATCCAAAAACCGTGGCTATTTGGATCCTAAATCCCACTTCAAAATGGGTGGTTCTTTAAATGGGAGATCCCCAAAACCATGGCTTTCAATATTAAAATTGTGTAATCTGGATGATTTGGATGATTACTTAACTTCCAATTGACGAGTTGGATCCTACATGGCTTTAGCGTGTCCAAACTTGGACCTGGGTAACTTCGATCATGCGCCAAAGCCACCAACCAATGCAGGGATGGAGAACAGCAAAGTCCTGGCCAACAACTTTTGAGTGACCCCAAGATCCAACTGCTAGTGATGATCTGATGTAATTAATAATTAGTAGCTATCAGAAAAATGTGGTAATTCGTGTGGTTAAACCAATTGGAAATGCAATGGCTGATTTTTCCCAAGCCAAAACTTTGCTTGCAGCGGGCGGTCCCGATCGCCACGCAGGTAGACCAACGGTCCTCAGCCATGGCTTGAACGCTGGAGTATTCCATCAGG